CGGAGCCGGTTTGTGCCTCCGCGGTACGGGCAGGCCTGCCGGCGAGGCAGCATCCCGTCCCGCAGGCGCCTTTCCCGAGGGAAGGAGTTCTGTGTATATAGAAACCAGTCACGCGAATTTGGTACTCGCTTCTCCACTTAAAATCCCGAGAAGGAAAACGTTGACTTCACTGGTTTTAAAGTACAAGTATTTGAAATGTTTGCACCCGACTTCTTGCGTTTGCTAATTTTCTAAGAAGATAATGGATCAACGTGTTGTCTAAAAGGAAAAAAAATAATTTGGAATTAGATCACATGGTTTGTTTCAACGCTCTTGATTTTCCATTTCTGTGTTTTTTTTCCCTTAGCCCATCAAGGCTCCTGAGTCTGTATCCACTATAATTACAGCCGAATCAATCTTTTATAAGGTATTGTTTATGCAAGTTTGTTTGCAAAAAGGGTCTTGCTGTTTCTATTCCCAACTTCAAAAATTATCACAGATAGTGAAAGCACTAGGGATGTATTCACAGAATCTCTTCTTCCTTGCCTAGCAAGGAAGGATTTTGTGTAGGATTTTGCTCTGCCTTGGGTCAGTGCCGGTAAGTCTTGTACGGTAGTTTACCGTATTAGTTTACATAATTGTCATTGTCTCTTTTTTTTTTTCCCAAGAAAAAGATGTGTCTGGTTTCCGTAGTAATTATTGCAATTGAGGTTTTTAAACTTTTAACTGTCACCATGCAGAGGTGAAGCAAAAGTGACTATAGCTGGTTATTTAAATTTGTGTGATCCCTTGAGAGCATTTTTACCAGCATGCCAAGGTGTTAGTGTTTTGAAGTTCTGAAATTTGCTTATGTTTCCCGGCAGTACAAGCAAACCATTTGAAATGACTTTTCCCCCAAAGAAAAGGCCAGGATGGCCACTGGGAGACTGCATAGCCAAAGGAGAAGTGGTAGACTGAGCTTCTGTATGCTGTCTAGAGACCTGATGCTTTGTGTCTCACATCCCAGATGAATCTCTGTTTGCTCTTGAGAAGTTCTGAAGAAAATTGATGTCTTTTCTGGCATGCTTTTGTTTTTTTCAGAAATTCCTAAGAATTATGTCGAAAGTTTTACTTAACCTGATCTCTCTATGAAGAATGTTTCTATTTTGATACTTTGCTGTGTTGTTGAAAAGGGGACTGTTTGGGGTTTTTGAGGTCTTCTTAATCTGTTCTAAAAGCAAAACCCTCCTGGGTGATGCTTGGCAAACTCTAATCTTGATGGTGCAGGCACTGCATTGTGCTGCGCGATGCTGTTGCAACATGAAGTGAATTGCCTTTGCTGCACAGCCTCACGGATTAAAGAGCACCATGGCAGGTGGCAGGAGGTGGATCTGTGTTTTGGGACTCCTTTGTATTCAAATGAGTGAACTTCTTCATACACAGAAAGCTGCTTTCCCTGCATACACAGGGAAATTGCTACAGGTACTTCTTCTAGAAGGTGGTGTCGCACTCTCCTACTTCTGACAGAATGAGACCATCACCAACTCTGTAGAGAGAAGGCGTAGCAGTCCTAGGAGAGGGGGACAGAGAGCGGCTGAGAGTGCCGTTTCTTTGAAAATGGATGAGGGTAGGTTGTTTCTGAGACATTTGGTGGACAGAAACCATGTGGAATTGTTTGTCTGGTCTCAAAAGCAATTCTAGGACTCAACCCAGACTGCTAGATATTGGGTGATTGTGCACAAGCAGTGCTGATGAGTGCTTAGGTGAGACAGCGCTCTATTTTACACCACCGCTCTTTTGCATGTGGCGGAATTAAGGCTGTTTTTCAAGACTGGGATGATTTGAGATCATTCAAGATACTGATACTTAAGATACGAATCAGAATCACAGAGTGAAGCTTCTAAAATCAGATGATTTGATCTAATTATCGTTTGTATGTCTTCTAGGGAGTATACTATCAAATAGGAGATGTTGTTTCAGTGGTTGATGAGCAGGATGGAAAAACATATTACGCTCAGATCCGTGGGTTTATTCAGGACCAATACTGTGAAAAGAGTGCTGCGCTAACCTGGCTCATTCCTACGCAAGCTAGCCCCAAAGATTGTTTTGACCCAGCCTCTTATATCATAGGTAATCTCTTAAGCTTTTGTTTTATACAACTACTTATATGTGCCTAGACTAATGCAGAGTTGTATTTTTTAAATGAACTTTTTAGCTTGTCAAGATCCCGTATGCAATTTCCATATTTTGGACCCTAATCCTGTAAGCATCTCATTTACCTGAATAACCTTTTTTATTTGTCTTATGTATGTAATATGATTAGCACTACTGCAGTGAGTGTGATTATTTGAGTATTTGTGCTCACGGACACAATTTTAGTCTTGCAACTTTAAGGATCAAATTATTGCTCTCTAGATAGAATCAAAGTTATTACAGTATAGACGCAATACACCAGTCCAAGCTGTTTCTTTTAAAGTGACCTGAAGTAGCTGATCTTCATCTTGGCTACTTAAAACACGTAGCATGCAAGCACTGGTGTAGAGGGTGTTCTGCTACTGATTATAAAATTATTAATAATTCAGAAAAGTTCTTTTGACCAGCAGGCCACAAATAGCATCTATTCAAAATATATTAACTAAACTACTTTACTCAAACGAGCGAATGCTTAAAATGGAGAAAAAAAAAATCAGTCTAGCAAAAATAAAGTAGAGGTTTCTCGCCTAGTATTTGAGGATACTTTGCCAGGAGAGTCATTGACTGATAAGTCACATTCTCTAAGGGCTGTTGGCCGTTGTGGCATATTTTTAAGTCCTGCGTACTCCAATTTTATGCCTTTAAATTTTGTCTTTGAAGATGATTTATTTTTTTTTCCTAGGACCGGAGGAAGATCTCCCAAGGAAAATGGAATATTTAGAATTTGTTTGTCATGCACCTTCAGAATATTTCAAATCTCGATCATCTCCCTTCCCTACTGTTCCTACAAGACCAGAGAAGGGCTATATATGGACTCATGTGGGACCTACTCCTGCAATCTCTATTAAAGAAACTGTTACCAATAATTTATAGTTTTTTTAAGGAATACTTTGGACGAGTTATTTTGGGTGTGTTCCCAGGTCTGCGAACCTCATACAAGAAGTTTTAAAAAATTATAAAATGTTCATTTTACATTATGGATTATGGTATTTATTTATTATTTAAATTATATCAGATCTTTAAAGTGGAAGTTTACTTTCCATTTGATGCGTCATTTCTCTGCTCTGTTCTTCAGACATCATTGCTTATTTTGGGACAAAACCACAAGTTGCATGTCATCCTCAACTTTGGTGAGCAAATAATTGACTTCTGAAAGTTGCCTTTAGTGTTCTTAATTTCTAACCTATTTTCCAGAAAAGGAGTTAAAAGACATGCTCTTAATCATCCAGCACTTTATATACTTGTTTAATTTAGTTAACCGTGACTGCAGTTTTTGCTTACTTCTTAAATAATTTAAGACTAGTTTCAAATAAACACTAAACTAGGGCAGTGATGCGGTTAAGAGTTTTATGGTACACTGGAGAGGAGTGATGTCCTTAGATACCTCTTCTTCCAACTAAAACCTGCCATCTGCAAGGCGGTACTCTATTTAACAGTCACCTTTTAAGAGAATTTTGTTCAGCTGAATGTAAAACGTGGCCCTGTGTAGCTAAGTTCCTGCTAAACTTGGCTTATATAAGGGGATAATTTTCTTGGAAAGCTGGATGCAGATTTTAAAAGTTAATGTTATTTGGCTTTGCCATCCTGGCATCCTCATGGCAGAAATGTATCTTCATTTCCTGAGCAAGCCAACACTGAAGTATGATTTGAGTTTCACATCATTACTATTTGTGTATGTGTTAGCTTGGTCTCTTAAAATTGATTTTCGAATTGTTTTTTTCAGTCTGTGCAATTAATTAATGATGGTAAAGAAAAAAATCCTCAAGCAATTCAAATGAAAAAACCCATTTGCTAAGGGAAATAAAGACTAATTTTATGTATTGACAGTCTCAGTATACCACTGAAAATATTTTAATAGCAGAATGGGAAAAATGTCACATACTAAAATACCAAAGTTAAAGTTTTCTGCACTAAACTTTTTATAAGCCAGCCAGCTCCAAACTCTGTGGATGTGCTTAGATGGCCTGGGGTTCGTGGTGGTTCCTGCTGCCTATAAAGGTTAAGAGCTGTAAGTGGCCTTAAATTTACATTTACAGATCTTTTCAGGTTTGGGGTTTTTTGGGGCTTATGTGATCATAGCACCCAAAAGCCCGAAATCAACTTTAGTATGTTGTATGAAAGTCTATAAAAGTTGCACTAGGCTTATGTTTTAACCTCATGAAAAGCATTGATTTAAGAGTAAATATATTTTGAAAGTCTCAGGTATTGACAACGTTTAGTACAGTGAGATTCATGACAGCAGGAACCAGGTATGTTTGTTTCAGTCTGCAGCCTCAGTTCTGCCCTCTTCAAACATAAGGAAGAACAGTCAGCCTTGAGGTGGTAGGTGCTAAGTTTAACGGATACTATCAATAGTTCAAAATGCTCAGAAATTAGCAGTATACTGCTAATACAGAGTTAAACCTTAAGTAACCAGTTGGTACATACATGATATGTACGCCCACGTTCAGTGTGTTGCAGTAATTCATCCCAGAGCAGCCGTGCTCCTGACCTTCCTCTCACTTTCTCTAGATTTCTTTTTTGCTGATTTATCTTTATTAAATTAACAACCATTAGAAAGTAAAAATATCGACTCTTAAAAGATATTTACAGTAACCAGAGTGTCTCCCTCCACTCAAATGTTTTCCCTCCTTTCTCTGCAGTCCACAAGATTTTCACTTGGGATCACTGTAAAGTCCTTGTGCTGCCTGAGCATAATCCACGGAGCTTTGCTCTTCTGTGGGTTGACTTCCAAGCTCAGCTGCTTTCCTTGTCAAATCCTTGTAGGAAGAGGGAAGAAAAAGTTTCGCTTTTTTGAGTTTCTGCAATTTACACCAAATGACAAGTACTTGCTTGCCATTTGCCTTATTTGCCAGTAAATTGTAATGTGAAAGGGAGAATTTAGGGATATATCGATGTGTGGTTTATGGTTTGAAGTTTGTCTCACAGAATGACCTGCTGATAGGCAGGTCTCAGCACCCTCCTTTGTCTAACAGCAGGTTATACTGAGAGAGGAGACTGACTGCAGACTTGCATAAGACATGTAGTTTGAAAGCTTAAGCAAAAGAGTTTGGAGCAAGATCGTGTCTTACTCTTATGAAAAAAAAAGTATGCCATGTAAATGTTCTGCTTACACTAGCAAAGAGCAGCGCCCCAGGTAGAGGATACGTAATCTGGAACTTCTGCAAGAAAAAGCAAAGAACTGTGAGCATTGCCACCGTGAAATGAAAGTCACAATCAAATAAAAATGTCATCCCTTATTGTATTTGTATCACCACCACCACTAAATTTAAGAAAGGTGTATTCTGATTAGATTGGGGGAAAAAAAAAAAGGAAAAAGAACCGCACAATGAAAACAAAACTATGAAATGATGTAGTAGGTACTCTAAACCAAATGTGAATCTGCTTCAGTTCTTTTACTTACCTAACTGTGATAGATAATTATTTGGTTTGGGAAGATGCAAGACTCATCAGTTTTTCATACGAGACAACCAACAGGAACTTTAAATACCTTTTTAGCTGTCTGGTCTTGCCATCCATTAGGGAATGAGATAGGAAAAAAATAGCACAGAAAAAAAACCAAACCTATTTGTCAGCTGATTAAACATAAAACCTATCTTCGAAAAATTTTGGCCAGACTCTGTAATGCAGAAAAGGAGGTCTGCCTTTAAACATTTTTATTTTGTTTGCTGCAGTGTGAGAATGAAGGTACTGATGCGACCCCTAACGGAGTGAATTACAGGTACTGTACAATAAAGGCTAACATGTCAGTATATCTAGTAAGTAATCATCTAGTAAGTAATCACATCAGGTAAACCACCAATGTATGAATTTATAAGGATACAAACAATTGCCCTCATAACGAGCAGAATGCTTGAGGTGGTCGATGTGGTCGTGCTTGTCAGGGTTTCCTGAGGACACCAAGCACAGTGAGACTGTCTTTAGCTGTGGTTGGCCAACACGTTTCGAACCCCCCAAAATTACATGTGGTTAGGGACGGTGATTAATAAACTAACATCAGTGACATGCAGAAAGATAAATCATGAAGTTACTGCAGCTGACTTAAGCTTTTGCTCTTTTCCCTAGTCTGTTAATAAGATGAGTAATTCCATAAAACATATTTAATTGGTTTCCAATTCTGTTTTTGTTAAGCTCTTAAACTTATTTCCTGCTGCTGCTGCCTTCCTGTTGATACTCAGCAGTGTTTCCAAGAGAGACTCTAAGAAGGGAGCAGATAAATGGTAATATGTTCATGAGAAAACCCCATTTTGAAATACAGTACATGCCGTTTATATATTTTGACATCTCTTGCCCTTAGTATAGCAAACCTGTGGACAGAAAATGAAGCTGGGACAGAGATTTGTGGGAAAGCAGGATCAGTCCTGGTAGTTTTAACAGTTTTCAGCACAAACTGCACAATTTTATTTTGTTTGTTTTTTTTTTTTTACTGTAAGCATTGCTAGTTTTGGAGATGCAAACAGAACTAGTAGAAATTGAGTGACTCAATAAAACAGATCTAAAGATGTCATTAAAATCATGACATCTTAGATTATTCGCTGTTACATAATCTGTTAATAGTACTTTCTTCTGTCTTCAGAGCAAATAAAAACGAACAGGGTTGCAAATGCAGGTATTCCTCCAACTTGCATTGTAGTCACTGTTGTGGGAATTAAGGCATAAGAGGCAACCTGTTAGCTCAAAATGCTCAAGAAGAACATAGGCCAGTGGAAGAAAAATGCTTAAAAGACTTAATCTAAAATAATTCCAAGTATTATACTTCCAACTACAGTCTAAAATGACAAAAACATCCCTCTTTTTTTTTTTTAGAGTGTTATGGAACAACCTCCCTTAGTAAACACTTAAGTTTTGGTTTTTTTAGTTTTTGATTATACTGGGAAGTGCTAAAAAATAATCCAAATGGGCAAGGATTCTGATGGTACGGTCCCTAAAGAGGGCGGATCCGCAGGCAATGTCTGTTATTCAAGCATTGTAACTTTATTTATAGGTACTTGAACAATTGCCCTGTCCTGTTTTTTTTTGTGTCCAGAACATCAACCAGTAACATGGGAAGAATGACTGACTCTCCAGACAGCTTTTTATGGACATGGCTGAAAGAATGGGACCTCCAAGAGCAATGTGTCTCTCTGAAAATTTCTCGTATTAGGAAAATGAAGGGCAAAGGGAAGGCCCACAAAATGGACTCAACAGCAGAAGGGGTATCACAGGATCCCGTGGAGACAGGCTTTGGTGGCCTGCAACAGAAGGAGCTGAGCTCACCCCCTGTCCTCTCTTTTTGTTCGGTACCCCCATGCCAATTTAGGTAGGTTTCATTCTTGCATCATTGGACTGAGTGGATACACTGCTACTGAATTTATGGCCTCGTGTTAAGCTTCAGAGCTTTGTGACGAGTCGACAGATGTTTTTGTTAAGCAATTTTAGTTGTAAAGATGGAACATGTAGCGAAGAGCTGAAGCACACAGAGTGTATTATTAAGTAATGCATAGAACATAGAGTGTGCCCTGATGCATACATTGCAGTTCGGTCTGCCTGCAGGAAGAAAATATCCTTGTTGTAGTTGCAGGAAATCAATGTTATCCGAGAACATTTGCTTTGCAGAACAGGAAAGGGTTTCCGTGACAGAAATAATGCAGACACTGTTTGCTAAAACTTCTTGTTGACTGGGGAGAATATACCTTCCTCTGTTAAGGTATAAGAGGCACTCGAAATAATTTGGTTGGCAATTGCACACAAGATAATACTAGCAGTACTCATCCCAGTAAAAAAAGTAAGGGGAAGAAAAGCAAACAAAACAGTTTTAGTGACTGATAGCTCAACTAAACATAGCAAATAACAAATAACAGCTTTAATTGCTGAACCCAAAACTTTCAGATTTCATATACTTAAAGACTGTCCACTAAATATTCAATATTTATTCAATATATTTTTATATTATTGAAATGGAGTCTTAGTTACACAAAGCCATACTGGTTGAAGTGAAGAAATTACTCATTTTAGATAGATCATACAAATCACGTAAGCTAAGCTGCCAGGCAGCTGCTCGCTCACTCCTCCCCCTCGGTGGGGTGGAGCAGAGAAAAATGTAACAAAAGGCCTGAGGGTCGAGATAAGAACAGGGAGGGA